ACCACAGTGGACTGAAATTTGCTCAAAATTTGATTTTTAAATTTTTTTTTATGTAAATATTTTAATATTTTATTTACATAATGTGTATAATTAACACATAATATATTATTTATATATTTAATGTTTCAATTTTTAATATTAAAAAATATTATTTGCTTTGGTTTGAATCTGGACCAGAATGGACCGGGAAATTTCTGAAACCGAGCTGAACTTTATTTAATTCAGTCCGGCCTGGTCTAGTTTTCTGGTCTGAACAGGATAATTCTCACCCCCTAGAAATGAAGTTGTTCGGCCAGTATAAGCAATTGATGACACAGCAACTGTGTGTCTTCCTATGTCAATAGTCAGTTTCCTCGCCAATATCTCCAACCCCTATTTTTGCACTTGAGTGCATGCACACTTTGGAGGAGAAGAGTAATGTTAGAGTACCAGGAAACTGGTTCATTTTAAGAGGAGATACCAGCAGAAGAAGAAGAGAAGAAGTTGCTAAGTAGTTTGATAAGCTTATTTTCAGTTTATAGGTGGGTAAGTATTTTATATGCTTTCAAGATGCCAATATGTTAGACACTTTTATTGTCTATGGCTGCCACCTGTTTCATGACAACTCACTTTGAGTAATCCAGTAACTGGTCACTAGGATAGAGACAATTCATAGTTTGTAGGAAGCAGTTATTATGTTGGTATTCTGTAAAAATAAATTTTCATTTTGTGGTAACGGAAGAGATTAAAGAAGAATTTAGAAAGAAAAAAATATTTCGAGTACCTTAAACTCTTAAGAGATTATTGGAATCTTTCTTTACAGCAACATACTATTAATCAAAATCCCATAACAAGATCCTAAGTAGGGACCATAACAATTTCCATTAGGACTCCATATTCCTCCTTTGCTTTACATTAATTTCTACCTTACAGTAAGATTAGGAAATTTTACTCTTCAAGGTTTTTGGGTCTAACAGTATAGTAGGCCTAAATTGTAGGTCTAATCTTATCCCTATAAATATTTGGGTCATTATTGAACAAAGATACCCAAAAGATTAATTTAACTGGAGATTTTGGGTCTTCTCCTGGAGCCCTAAATCATAGGCCATAAAAGCCGTAAATCTGGCAAGGAAGTCATGCCCTTGCTGCAGGATTTTTCTCTAACTATCCATGACCAGACAGTAGACACCTGATCTTAACACACACCATGTATTTTTTTATTACTGGCCATCCGCTACTTCAATGGAGAAGATTTAGAAATTTTCATTACTTTTCTAGCTGACTTTATCTTGTATAATTTTTTTTCCTTTTTCAAATGAGTTGTATTGCTTTAGTGCCAGTGTTTATAATGTAATTACTTTTTCTCTCAAAAGAAGTGCTGTTCACCTCCAGCCACCAAATGAAATTTCAACAGCAGGTCAAGAATGTGAACCCTATTTCGAGACATCAAAAGTACTCATTGACTTATCAATGTTTATACCCTTTAACCTAAGTTACACTTTCTTTAACACTTCTCAAGCTGCGGAATAGATATTGTCCATTATTAATTTGCCAATAAGAGTTTAGAATACTGGATTGCTCAAGTTTTTAGTTAATACATCTGCTAGTTGTGTTAGATATACATGGAGTATATATTAGGCAATTGTCAAGTTTTCTTCGATAAAGTGTCTATCAACCTCGATATTTGGTCTAATCATGTTGCACTGGATTGTATATGATACTTCTTGGTTGACTTGTTTTCACAGTACAGGTGCACGGGGCTTTCCTGCTTGATTCTTAGATCTTTTAAAATTATTCTTATATATAGTAGTTTATATATCTCTTATGTTATTACTCGGAATTCTGATTCTGCATTTGATCTAGTAATTACATTTTGCTTTTTACTTCTCCAGGTAACTAAGTTGTCCCAAAGAAAGTATAAAACTATGTGGTAGATTTTTTATCTACAACTAACCCTACATAATCTACATTTATAAGATTTCTAAAGCAATCTATCACTCCCTCTAAACATGATTCCTTTTTTCAAGTGATCTTTTTAAGTAATGCAATACTCTATAAGTTGTTTGTAAGTGCACCTCTTTATAACTATGCATGAATTGACTTATAACATTCATTGCATAAGCAATGTCTAGCCTCGTGTGAGATAGATATATCAATTTTCCAACTTATCTCTAATAAATTTCCTTATTTGTTAGCATATCTTCTTCAACTATTCTTAATTTATGATTCGGATTAATAGGAATACCAGTTGGTTTACCATGCTAACTTACTAACATCTCCCAATAGGTCATGAATATATTTTTGCTGAGAAATGAATATCCTAAATTTTGAGCGGACAATTTTAATTTCAAAAAAATACTTTAACTTACCTCATTCTCTTATTTCAAATTTTCTTGTTAGACACTATTTTAATATCAATTTTTCTTTCTCATCATCTCTTGTCACAATAATATTATCAACGTATATTAAGAGAGTTATAACTTCTTCTGTCTCTAAGTGCTTGATAAACAGAGTATGGCTTCCTCAAGTCTACTTAAACCTCAAGTTTATCGTTATCTTTGGAAACTTGTCAAACCATACTCTTCGCGGTTGCTTGAGTCTATACAATGCATTCTTCAATTTACATACCTTATTTAGTCCTAATTCTTTGTCAAAACCAAACGGAATATTCATACAAATTTCTTCTTATAAGTCTCCATGTAGATAGATATTTTTCACATCAACTGTAGATATCAATAAATGTAAGCAGCTGATGGCAACAAGATCTGCACAGTGTTCATCTTCGCTACTAATAAGAATGTATCCTGATAATCAATTCCATAAGTTCATGTACGACTCTGTACCACCAGTCGTGCTTTATATCTCTCAATTATCTGATCTGTCTTGTATTTGATTGTGAATACTCATTTGTATCTCACTGGTTTCTTTTCTCTAAGTAGATCTACTATTTCCAATATCTAACTTTTTTGGCACAATTAAGAAAGAAGGCTCTCTCTAAAGCCCCTTGACAAGGGCAGCCAATGCTTTCGGGTTCAAACCCAACTCACAGAGTGCAATGAGAATTGAAAGGGTGTGACAATCGAGCCCTAGGTCAAGAATGTTTTACATGTGAAATACAAATTTGGAGATTCTAATGCAATACGTGCAGCCTCTGAGTCCATTTCAACGAACTAAGTCGAGGTTTTGTTTGAAATGGGTGCTCAAACCTATTCACCAGCAAAAGGATCCTACTCCCTCCTCTGTCTCTTCAACAATTTGAATGTCCCTATGTCAAGGAATTTCCTCTTAGGATTCCTTGCCTTTAGTACCAACCTTAACCTCACTAAGTTCAACATGGAGCCCAATACCATCAGTCTTTATCCATAAGCTACAAAAAAATCCACCACCATTCCAGTACCAACCTTAAACCCGACTAAGTTAAATATTCAAAAAAAAAAAAAACCAACCGAATTCAAAATCAAACCCAATTCCTACTACTACTAATCCACATGTTGGTTGCCTCTATCAACACCCTTCCTCCAACCACTCCTTCCACTTCCATATGTAGCTTGTATCACCTCCCACCAAATCCAAATGCCTATAAGATTTCCCAAGTCCATATACAAAATATTTATGGAAGACCAAAAATGACTATAAAGTTCCCTAAACCCAAACCATATGGAGTAGGATGCCATCATCGACAAAATAACCAAGGTCTGAAACCAACTAATTCTCCTTATTACATAAGTAGAGAAAATGTGCTAATTGTTTTCTTTTTTGGTTGTTTTTCCAAATAAGACACAGTAAAAATATGAATGAAACTAAAAGTTTGCATTCTTTTTTTTTTAAATAAAAAATGCTAATGGTATTATAAACATAGTACCAAAAGGGGTACTGCCCATGTACAGTAAATTTACATTCTAGTAAGGGTATCAATGACAATCCCAAAATCTACTTCACTCATCATGTCATGCCCCAATAACATATTCCCAAAAAAATGAAACCACCTATCTCTCAATCTATTCACCAGATTTTCCTTTCCCTCAAAAACTTTAAGGTTTCTTTCTTTCCAAATGATCCACATCATCGTGAGAGGAATCAAATTGTTACAATCATTTTCAAGCCTAAACCCACTCCATGCCCATATTTCTTCTTTGACAGTACCAGCCACTATCCAATTTAGCCCCAGAAGCCTATACACCATGCTCCATAGTTCATAAGCCACAGGGCACCACAAAAGAAGATGATTACATTTCTCCTCAACTAACAAACCCGTGTAACACAGGTTGACAATAAAATGACCCCTCGAGGCTAATTTATCTTGCATCAAAATACATCCCCAAGCTGCCTCCCATGCAAAGACACCAATCCTAGGAGTAACTCTAGAATTCCAAATCTGTTTTGCCAGAGAGTTACAGATTCTGTCACCCCCTCCACCCTTGATGAAGCAGTAATAAGACTTAGCAGAAAACACCCCATTTTGATTCAACCTCCATTTTAAACAGTCAGCAGAATTGTTCAGTTTTTTCCAGAATACATAGCAAATTCTAGTAATCCTAGATTTCCCAATCGTTCAAATTTCTGCAAACATTCACTTCCCAACACCTGATGCCATTTTGCTCCCTATACGCCTCCTTGACAACCATGTTTCTAGATTGGGCTATCTCAAATAATTTTGGGAAACAGCTCATGGGACACCCCCCTTCAATCCAAACATCCTTCCAAAATTTGATTTTATCGCCACCACCAATGCTCCATTCAATACAGTTCTGGAAATTGTGCCAATCCATCAGAATTTTCCTCCATAGACCAAGACCATGCTTTCTCCTAGTTCTGCCAGGCCCCTCTCTGTCCGGAATATTTCCCCATTTTGCCATAATAACCTTTCTTCATAGTCTATCTTTGTCTTTGAGGAATCTCTATAACCATTTTGCCCTAAAAGTTTGCATTCTTAGACATGATAATTTAATGAAGAGAGGTTTCACAATTGTCAATAGATGTTTCCTCTGCAAAAACAGCATTGAAACGTGTAATCACTTACTCTTGTGATGTCCGATCTCTCACAGCCTCTGGTCTACTATTCTCGGCCTCATGGGATTATCTTGGGTCAAACATGAATCAATTTTGGATGAGCTGCTTGCATGGGAAGGATTGAGCTGCCACAAGAAAACTTTTAGACTCGTCCCTCTCACTATCTTTTAAATCATTTGGAAAGAAACAATCACACTTGATAATTTAATGAAAAGAGGTTTCACAATTGTCAATAGATGTTTTCTGAGCAAAAACAGCATTCAAACGTGTAATCACTTACTCATGGGATGTCCGGTCAATCACAACCTCTGGTCTACTATTCTCGACCTCATGGAATTATCTTGGGTCAAACAGGAATCAATTTTCGATGAGCTGCTTGGATGGGAGGGATTGAGCTACCACAAAAAAACTTTTAGAGTCATCCCTCTCACTATCTTTTGAGTCATTTGGAAAGAAACAATCGTGCTTTTGAAGAAAAAGAAGCCGACTTCAGAATCATCACTGACAATAGGTTTCACTACTTCGGGTCCACTTTTTTAGGACATAACATTGAATACTTTAATAATCTCGGCTGTATAGTCGATTGTTTAATCGATTTATAAATCTTTTGTAAACAGGCGTGCCCCCTTAATACCTTTACATCAATACAGATTCATACTTTTATTTCGGAAAAAAAAAAAATGAATGAAACTAAAAGATCTAACACCTAACCAAGTCCATAGCTCCTACTCAAACAAGCCAAAAATCATCCAAGTGAAGCTAAGAAGGCCTAACACCAAACCCCACATACTTCCATCCACTAATGCCAAATGTGGAGACGATTAGGTTGTACTCCCTCAAACACATAAAACAGTCATTGTTTACATCTAGGATTTTGCAAACTAATAGGTCATTAGCATTAATCATGTTAATTTCCATAATAAAAATCCAACATAAAATATTACTTCATTCTTTTGGAAAGCCTAAAAAAGGGGAAAAGAATCTTATTTCTCTTTCAAAAGCACGAAAAATGAAAGCAAATTTCGCATATGTAATCACCCAAAAAGACATTTGTATCATAAAACTGGACATAATAGCAATAGAACTTTATATCAAAAGGAGCTTTGAGCTGCTATCGAAGGATAGTTCGCTTTGGAGGCTAAAAGTAAAGGTGGTGTTATTTTCACGCGACATCAAAACAAGGATTCAGAAGAAAGGTTGGATAGCATTTTTTCCAAATAATCTTATATTATACAAGACCACCTTATAGAGAAAGTAGCAAATCAATCTAAAAGCACAAGTAACTAGTTCAAAACTAGTTCAAAGACAGAATCACATGTATATAAATTAATAATTAAATATTTTTAACCACATTCAAGATATATCTAGTGCATGCTAAACACTTAAATCTCACATACCAAGATGACCTTGGACAAGTTAAATGTACCTTATCACCAACAAGAACCCCGAGAGCAAAGCCAGTAGAGCGAGGAAGCTCCCATGACGAAGACAATGTCTAGAGAAAGAAGAAAACATGAATCACTTCATGTACATAGTTGGAAGCAAACTAAGTGTAAAAGCAATGAAAGAATACAACTAACAGAAAGCTTAACGTTTTCAATTGATATCACTCCCTCACACACAACAGATATGTGTAAGAACCTGCGTGCAATTACACTTGCTCCAAAAGGAAAGGTCATATTCTAGCTCCACGATAGTGTAGTGACTTAATGGTTTGAACCAAGAGCATTCATAACTTCAAGAGTCCTGACCGTACTATACCTACCATCTCATCTATGAGATGAAAGACAAGGGTCTAATTGTTGACAACTCGACAACACTAACACTAGTTTGCTTGCCAAAATTTTCCAATCCAAGATATGCTGATACTAAAAATATCAAATTATTAAACTGACTAGCTCCTTTGAAATGCTAAATTGGATCTCTCCTTTCCATATCTCAACAGGAACCCAAGCTAAGATTAAAAACCAAGTTAAACCCAGGTTAAATGGGAAAATAAAGATAAACCTGCTTAGTCATCTTCAGTTTGCTCCCAAAATCACTATCGTAATTCTTGGAATTGACATCAATGGACAAATCAATTTCCACTTCTGCTGTTGCAGGTTTCACCCTTACCTACAAGACAAAAGCAAAGTTACTATCCATGCAAAAAGGGAAGAAGAAAATAACTCCACAATTAGCCTGGACATAGCAAAAGTACTGACCTCTTCGCAACGCTCATCTAATTCATAAGGACGCCAGCATGCTCTGAGAGGATATTGCATAACATATAGCTGAACGTTTAAATCATAAAAACAATAGTAAAACAGAAGGGAGAAAAGGACAATAAGAAAAACCCTCAAAAGACACTCACAGATTCAAGCAAAAAAAAAAAACAAATTCTAATAGAAACATATTCACGTCCCAAATGAAAACAAAACCACTCAGTTATCATTGACAGGAATGTAATACGCAGAAGAGTAGACTCTTATATAAACACACAAATATATCCATATATTTATAAATATACATATATATAACATACTACAACTGAAAGATCATAAATCTGCCCTAACTTAACAGGATCAAGAAAATACCTTATTGTCGTCATTGACAGGATGATTAAAGAAAACTTCAATTTCACGAACGACTATATCTTCTTCAACAGGTTCATCTTCTTGTTCTGGTTGCTCCTGGTGGTCTTCATCCATTGGTTCATCATATACCAGCTCCCCTCTGGCCTCCATTTTGGTTTCAATCTCCATTTTGACGGCACCACTGGCATCGGGGATGCAAGATTCAGTCTTGGGCAAACCGATGCTCACTGTAGGTTGGAAAACTTTTCCTTTTAACTCGCTCTCTTTCCCGAGTTGTTCCGCTTCTTGTTTCGGCGCCGATTCATGTTGTTCTTCTTTGGGCGCCGATTCCTGCTTAGGTTTCGCCTTAGGCTTGAGGCCTCTGCCGGGAGCAAACCTGCTAACCCGAGAAGGAACCTTGCTTGGTCCATCTAGCCCTAGGTCATCTAGGTCCATAATCAAATCTCTCTACAGAATCTCTTGCTGCATTGAAAAATTAAGATTAGTTCCAAGGAAATGGTGGTATTTTATGTGCGTTAAACCATGTAAGGGGTTCTGTAATCAACCATCCGACCTCCGACGGACTGGAAAAATAAGAGAAACTATGTAAGAAATTTGTAAAGGTTTTAAAGTTAGAGAAACCATGTAACTGGCTAACAGTGAAATTGTCCTATTCCAGTCGTCTTCTTCCGTTAATGGCTAGGAAGCCCAATACTCATTGCAATATCAACTTAAACCCCAACACAAATCTGGCTTAAAACCCTCATCCCTATAAAAACAGAAAGATGATACCAGTTGGATAAGATTCTTACCAGTGGCTGCTAAGGAAGAGTGAGACTGGAGACTGCAAAGGAAATCAGGAGCGACTGGATAGAAACGAAGATAATCCGCAAGGAAAGAGGCTGAAGCAACCACGGTTTTACGACTTACAAAGCGGAGATTTCCCAACTAAAATGAAAAAGTATTTAGCGTCTTAATATCGAAAAAGTTGCTGTCTCCATAAAAGACGGATGTTTAGGAACGTGAGAGGGTGATGGCGTTGTATTAAAGCGAGCAGTTGCAGCGATTCCACTGGAGAAGAGAGGGGTCTTGGTTGCGCATGGCGGCAGAATGCCATGGGTTCTATTTTTTTAGATAGTAAATTACAAAAACCTCCTTAAGTTTTACAATATTATACAAAAACCCCAAATTTTTAAATTTTAAAAATAAATTCTAATTGCATAAATTATTATATAATTTCTTTCATGACTATTAAATTTTAGCTTTAAAGTTAATCAAAAGTTTAAAATTATTATTATTCCCTTTTTACTTAGTAATAAAATATTATATTATGTATGTTTCATAATTTTTCAATTTACAAAAAATATATAAATAATATTAATCTAATAAAATTTATCAAAATCGTTAGTCTACTTAAAGTGTGTTTGGTGTTGTTGTAATTTTTATTATATTAAAATAATTTTTTTAGTAAAAATACTTTCAATAGAAAATTGTTATATGTTGGATATAAATAATTATAAAAAATATTTTTCATGTTAAAAGTAAAAATATTGTATTTAATCGAAATAAATATTCATATTAAAATTATTAAAAATAATATAAAAAAAACAAGTCAAAACATAAGTTATTATGTTTTATTAAATATTTGAGATTTTTGAAGTAAGATAAAATTAATTAAGAAGAGAGAAATTTAACTTAAATTATCATATATCCGATAATATTAAGAAATAAAATAATTATTTTATTTTTTAAAATAATAATAATTATTAAATAATTAATGACGAATATATGATTTCATTTTATTTTCTTTAAAAATTAACAATTTATGAAAATAATATATAATCTCCTATCATAACTTTGTAATTTCTCCATCATTATTATATAACATGTCTTATAATATATGAGAAAGCTATTACATATAGATAACATATAATTATTTTTATATTATATACAAATATGTTTATTATTGTATAATATATAGTATGTAATATACACACGATATATATAAACATTTATGTTATATAAACTTAGCCAAAAGGGCGAAAAAAGGTACAAGTCGCTTATATACATAATATACGAACAAGTCTACATATATATATATATATATATATGACGAGGAGGAAGAAACCAAAAACATCAAGAGCAAAGTAGGAAAGAAGAATTGTACGGTTGATTTTAGGAATTTAACTTTTAGAGGGACAAAATTTTAATTAGTTAATTTATATAAGGGTAATATTGGAAATATATATATATATATTGAAAGTAGGGGTCGTCTTTACAAGTATATAGATTTAGCTTAGGTGTTTAAGTATATTAGAAGCATATTATAACGCATGCCGCAATGTTATATATCGGAATAAATAGAAGCCCGAAGTATATGTCATAAATTCAATATTTAAATATTTGACAATCTCTTTTGTTATAAATTAAGAAAAATAATACAAACACTCACTTAAGCTACTTTTCAAGCTTAGTCTCTTATTACTGAGGATGAAATACTTGAGTTTTCTTTTATATGCTATAAGAGCTTAAAAACAATATTTCAAAAACTTATAGACAAAATACAAGCAAAATGGGCTAGATGGAAGAGAAAATCCTTGTCATTTGCATTAAAATTTTTGCTTATAATTATAATTATTTTTAATGACGTCATCTTTATGTGTTTGTATTGCTATCCCAAAGAAAATTTGCAGCGCTACGAAAAAGATGCTGAAATATTCTATTGAAATCGTAAAGATAATCAATCTCAAAATCTGCCATAGCATTTGAGATTTCTTTATGAAGTTGTAAATATTTTATGGTCTAATATTGAAAAAACTTACATAATTCAATACTGTTTTAATTATTAAACTATCTTGGCAAATTCTCATAAATGTTCCAAAGCTTTGGGTTAACCTCATAAGAGCAAAACATTAAAACATTTGCTGTTGAATTTGGTTGTGCCAAAAAATTCAAACTCATTTTTGTTAAAAAGATGTATTAAAAATTAGATATTCAATCTTTAAAATGGCTTGCAAGTTGTATGTAATGAGGAAATTGTTAATATATGAGAAGATTCGTATATTTATAGCTTTTAAGGGTTTCATCTCTAATACTCAAATGGTCCGATGAACTAGGGATTTAATTTTTCCTTCTTGCCAAACTTACTGATCCTTTTGAAATGAGTGACCTTAAGAAATACTCGATCACATTTCTCAAATTTTAAATCCCTCCTCTGAGAATTCGCATAACTTTTCTACTTACTCTGAGTTATATGGATATTCTTCCTGATCTTACTATATTGGTTGTAGTCTCATTCACAAGATCTGAGCTGAATAATTTTCTATCACCTACCTCTTTCCAACAGATCGATGATCTGCATGAGCAGTCATACAATGCGTTGTATGGAGCCATGTCGATACTTGCCTGATAGCTGTTATTTTAGGTGAAGACTATTAGAGGTAAGTAATCATTCCAATGGCCCTCGAAGTTTAGAACACAAGCTTGGAGTATATCCTCCAATATGCGAATTATCCTCTCTGATTGTCTATCAATTTGAGGGTAGAATGTGGTGCTAAAGAATAGTTTCGTTCCTATGACTTGTTAAAAAATAGACCAAAATCGAGAAGTGAACTTAGAATCTCCGTCGGATACTACTGAAACTGAAACTCCATGTAACCTAACTATCTCTCGGGTATACATTCTTTCTACCTTGTCCAAATGGTCGGTTACTCAAATGACATCATGTCTTGAGCGTGCCTTAGTCAATCCTGTTACGAAATCTATTGTGATATATTTTTACTTCTACTTCGGGATCGGTAATGGCTAAAGTAACCCATCTGGGCATTGATACTTCGTTTTAACCTGTTGGCATACTAGACACTTGGAAACAAAGTCGGCTAGCTCTCTTTTCATCACACTCCACTAAAATTGAGGTCGCATACTTTGATATATTTTAGTACTTCCAGGATGTAAAGCGCCCTTGGAGCTGTGAGCCTCTATCATGATATTTTATTTTCGTTCACTGTCATCTAAAACACACGCCATGTCATGAAACCTGAGTAATCCATTGGCAGAGACTCAAAATTTTGGATGTACTCCATGTTCTACATCTTTCTTGATGGTGGCTATGGTGGAATCGGTTAATTAGGCTTTTTTTATTCTCTAGATCAATTCAGATTGGATAGTCAGGTGGGCCAAGCATGTAACTCTTTTTAAGTCTTAAAGTCGTATCTATTGTGTGGCCCCTATTACTCTGCATTCAGAAACCATTATGTGAGCTAACAAAACTGTATTTTTTCTGCTGAACGCGTCAGCTACTACATTATCCTTACCCGGGTGATACAAGATATTACAGTCATAATCTTTGAGGAGCTCTATCCAACACCTCTTACGCATGTTTAGATCCTTCTGAGTGAATATATACTTTAAGCTTTTATAGTTAGTAAAAATCTCAAAAGTCTCCTCATACAAGTAGTGGCATCAGGTCTTCAAGGTGTGGATAATGGCAACAAATTCTAAGTCGTGGGTGGGGTAATTTTTCTCATGACTCTTCAACTATCTGGACCCATAGGCTATGACCTTGTCATGTTGCATCAGAACACAATCCAACCCTAGGTAGAAGGCATCACTATACATTATATATCTACATGTCTCACTTGGTAAGGCCAACACGGGTGTAGTAGTCAACCGCTTCTTGAGTTCTATAAAGCTCTTTTCGCAGTCCATATTCCATTCAAACTTAATGTTCTTCATTGTGAGCATGGTCAAAGGAGTGGCT